ATCTCATTCTAATTTTTTTGCTTACAGAAAAATAAAATAATAACAAACACGCGCGATGGGTAAAAATATTATGATTTTCTCTATAGTTCTTGTTTTTCTCTTTTCTGTAGCATATTCAACTCCTGGAATCGCAACTTTCTACACAACTTACATTCGTAAGAATACTATTTTACATTCTGTTGTGTGTTAACTAGCTAAATTACAAACGAATTAAGAAAATAGATAACAACAAACTTATATATCACCTTTTGATTTCGAAATGTTATAAAATCATAACAATTGCTTTTGTTCCATTTGATTATTTTGATAGCCTCGGCATGTTATAGAGGTCAACAAGAAGGAGTGATGATGGCTGCAGCGAGTGATAAATTATGGGACAATGGTCGAGTTTGCGGCAAAATGTTCACCGTGAAATGCACCGGACCTCGTAACGCCGTGCCTCATCCCTGCACCGGAAAATCTGTGAGGGTCAAAATCGTTGACCATTGCCCCAGTGGCTGTCCTTCTACGCTCGATCTCTCCCGTGAAGCTTTTGCTCAGATCGCTAATCCTATCGCTGGGATTATTAATATTGATTATATTCCGTAATTACTTCACTAAATATTTGTCACCTAATTTTGTTATTTCAGCTTTCTTTAGAGAAGTTTGTATCCAAGATTTTAATTATTGGATTGTTTATTTGTATTTCAGAGCCTAAGCGTAAATGGAGTTCTCAAGGAAAATGATGCTCAAATCCGGAAAACCCTCATATAAAATGTACTCGCACATTACGATTTTGTAATAGTATTTCATAATATGAATAAAAATCCTTTAGATTCTTACATAAAATAAGATTGCATATTTGCATCTCTATATAGATATTTTATATCCATTGGTAAGGCGTTTTAGCCTTAACCAACAAAAAACTACTAAACTATAATAACTTGATAAATTTTAAATGCAAGTATGAAACTCAAGCACAAAAGAGATTATTGATTATGTTTAAACGTCAACTAATTGGTTGTAATTGACAACTAATTTTTGTTTTTATTATTCAAAAAAAACAAAAGTAATTCAGGTTTTTTAATAGTTAAAAGTGATTTAAGCTTTCTTAAACCGTTCATCGAGTAGTTTGTTGCAATGACAACAAAATCTTCTAAACTTTAAATATTTCGTAAGACGTGAAACTAATTTCTAATCATTTTAGATAGTAAAATAACAATATATCAACGTTTTAGAAAGATACACACCAAATCTGTATCTGTATGCCAAAAAAAGAAAAAAAACATAACAATATCGTCTCCCATCTCCTATATTATTTAAAGCTTCAACAATCCCTTTCTTGTTTCTCACACAACAAAAATCCAATACTTTTGTATATACATTCGAGTTTTTTCTCCCTTAACATTCGAGTTTTTTCTCCGTTAGTTCAATTAGAAAAGATATGGGTATGTCTAAGAAATTGCTTAAGTCTATTATTATTATATATGTAGCTCTTATTATGGTGTTCTTCACTCTTGCAACACTCAAGACCAATGCACAAGGTGTGATAAGCTACGAAGCTCTCCAAGAAGATCATGCATGGGGATGTAGTCCAAAGTATCCTCAATTTTGTGTAAAAGAAATAGCCAATCCCTAGATTCAAGGATGTGAGTTTGATCCCAAATATGATGGT